TAAAAAAATATGTAAAATTTACGAAAAAATTTACTTTGCAACCCAAAATTCTTAAAATGTGACATTACATGGCCGTTGTTGGTGCGATCTGTCAGTCGACTGGGGAGCCGAGGAGGGGTTCAAATGCGAGTCGCTGCATGATAGCAGCACAATCTGATAATGTCGCATTTACGAAATATCGCAATGGTTCATAGTGTACCAGTAGTGGTACTTCTGGTTCACACTGTTGGACTATCTACTCTATATATAATATCTATAATATATAGTACTAATTGCAATATAAAATAACATAATCTTTTAAAAATTCTTATTGAAACAATTATTCAAAAAGATCGCTGAAATAACCTCAAAAACGATCTCCGACCGTTATTTTTGCAGAAAGATCGATATTTTACGCATCAATACGCGTATCGGTGCGCGTATCATATAAAAACAGAAATATCGGATCCATGTCGATATTTGCAACATCGTAAATTATCTAGCTGATATTTTGGCGTATCAATATTTCTGCTAACGATATAGTGCGATAAGAAATATCGAGATTTTTTTGTATCATTCATCTCTAGCTCACGTTCGATTTACCTCAGCTTCAGTATCCACATTTGCATAAAGATACGCGTGATTTTAAGAAGCGGAAGCGTTATAGATATGTCGCATGGAATAGGCGAAAGGTAAATGTAAATGAACAGAAAAAGATCGATGGAAATTTATTCTATATAAAGTTTATCTAATCTTCAAAATAAAAAGTTAATGTTAAGAACATGATTATAAAAAACTGTCACGTATGATTAATGATTTATTATTAGTTTTAATTGAATTTTAATTGGATACGATTAATTTACTTTATTGCGCTCTTTTACTTAATTGGATGCGATTAATTTACTTTACTTAACTATTCATGATTGAAATAAGTGATTCTATTAGTAAAAGAGTGATATGTGAAATGTTATGACAAATTTTATTTATGAATTCTTTATGCAATTTAGAGTATAGTTTCTTTTAATAAATATATTAATCCTTCGGTTCCACTTGTGTGATATATACTCAAGATTTCTTTTGCTTTGCGCTAAGCTATAGATTTTTTATTAATAAAGATACTTACATCTGCTTGTTACCGTTATATTTCTTAACACGTTTCGTACTACGTCACCGTTTGACCTATTAAACTTTCCGTTTAGGCTGTTTGATAATTTAGCTATAAAGAAAAAACGAAATTATAAAATATTTTTTGCAATATTGATACATTAGGTCTTTTTTTTTATAAAAGTAATTTAATTTTTTAACCATCATGAAATACACATTATCTAATAAACGTAACAAATAAGCAAAAATAGTCAATGATGACGCACGTACCGTATTGGTCAAGTCATTTAAAATTGACTTAACATGGCATGTGCGCTAATGGATGCTTTTCAATTACTCCATATTTTAACTAGAAACTAAAAAATGCCTATTACGGTCTAAGCTGGATCTTCATTGCTTTAAATAATTCAATCTTGAATTATTAATATACACTATATATGTACGTGCATATATACCACATTGTAGATTTTTCAAACTGCGAGCCGAATTATTTTTCCGGACTATAAACGCAATTAAAATTACTCTAGTAATCGCGAATTAAATTGACAAGCAATTTAATAATTTGATGCTATCATCAAGCATTATATTATAAAGATGTTAATATGTTGAAACTGTTAATAAATTTATTGCGAAAAATATTACTTCGGCCCGGACTTGAACCCGGATCTCTTGTATTCCGTACGAGCGTCCTAAGCGATTAGACCACCGAGGTCATTAGTCCACGTTTTAACACAATTATATACCAGAATGCACAAAGTATAACATTATGCAATGTGCATGACTTAATTGGAACAAAATATGTACGCTATGCATGGTTTCGGATAGAGTTAAGTTAATTTTTCAATACTACGCTCATGCTTTGACATTTTGTTATCTATAGTAATTTTCCGTATTTCAACCATAAAAACAACTTACGAAAAACTTGTGTAGCACTTTAGCCTTTTCCGTCTGTATTGAATAAAAAAAAAAGCAAAAGTACGATTTTCAACTTCACTCATAGATTAGTAACATTTATATTAAGATCATTCTAAGATGCCTTATGAGCATCAATATAATTAAATTACTTGTCAATTTAATTTGTGATATTACTATTCTAGTTATGTTAAAATTGCGTTTCAAGACTGAAAATAAATTCGGCGCGCAGTTTGAGGGATTGGATATGAGTATATAGATTCATACAGAATTATTTCAACACTAAAGATTCAGCTTGACCATTCAGAGCCTTTGTTTCCGATTTGTTACGTAATAACATTTAACTGTCATTAGAAAAAACCGGAAGCTTACATAGCCGACTAATAGCTCTTGAACTAAATAGGGATGTGTTATGTCGATGATTACGGCAATTGGAACACAATTTGTGTTGCTGAATGTATAAAAGTATTTAATTTTACAATTGAAAAGCACTAGTTGTTTTGATTAAAAAAAATTTTTATAAAATTGTTATAAATTTGTTTATTTTTATGCAATATTTTTGTACATATGGTAGATACGTGACGACAAAAATGGTACCACAGAGAAAAAGGTTTCTTTGGATTTAGTATTTCTATTTATTTAACTAAAAAATTTGTTTCATTGAAACAACATATGCTTGTATGAAATATTATTTATTTGAATAAAAATTTTGTTTTTTCATTCGAGAAACTTTTATTGCTTGGTAGAAATAACATTATTATTTAAAGTAACACCTTTTAATTAAATAATATACAGGGTGGACCATCTGAAGTGATCCAGTCAAATATCTCGAAAACTAGTAGAGAAAAATGTTTCGTATGAAAAGTTTAGGGTTACACGGGGGAAGTATGGTACTGACCTTGAAAAATCCTTGGAAGGTCATTTTGAAGGTCATTCAGGGGTCACGATGGTTTTTTTAAATGGAACCCCTAGTTTTTCACCATGGGATGAGAAAGCTGGTTTCAAGCCCTTTACGAAACACTGGTTGTGGTCCACAATCCGCCCACTGGGGTCCGAGTTATGGACCATCAAAGTCATTGATGAACTACTCTTAGCGCTACCCAGGAACAACGACGTGGACGTGGTAGTTCTCTGTTCCCTTCGAGGTGCTTGATTTTTGTGAGTCCCCTTGCCTCTCACATGTGGGGTGCTGAACGCCGTTACAATAATTGTTCGAAATTATCCCCCTCCATTTGAATACACAACCCCAGCCTCCGCTGAAAATTTGTGACGGTTGCCAAAAGCACTGATCGGGGTATGTTCGCACAAACAGCGCGGATACGGTCGATCATATCTCCCCTCGTTGTTGGTTGGGCTGCGAACACCTCGTCTTTCAGGAATCCCCACAAGAAAAAATCGGGAGATGTCAGGTCAGGTGAGCGTGGAGGCCACGCTACTGGTCCACCTCGTCCGATCCATCTCTCAGGGTAATGGTGATTGAGGTATTGCCTCACGATCAATGCGTAGTGGGGTGGGGCTCCATCCAGTTGGAGCCACATCCTCTGCCTTGTATGTAGATCCAGATCCTCGAGCAAGCCTGGGAGATGATCCGTCAAGAACGATTTACTATTGGAAATCTCTTGGATTATTCCATTTGATTCAATCAGAGTTATGAATGAGTATCGACTCTCGAAAACTGTTGAAGAGTCGCAAAAATCAAGCACCCCACATGTGAGAGGCAAGGGGACTCACAATAAACAAGCACCCCACATGTGAGAGGCAAGGGGACTCACAAAAATCAAGCACCTCGAAGGGAACAGAGAACTACCACGTCCACGTCGTTGTTCCTGGGTAGCGCTAAGAGTAGTTCATCAATGACTTTGATGGTCCATAACTCGGACCCCAGTGGGCGGATTGTGGACCACAACCAGTGTTTCGTAAAGGGCTTGAAACCAGCTTTCTCATCCCATGGTGAAAAACTAGGGGTTCCATTTAAAAAAACCATCGTGACCCCTGAATGACCTTCAAAATGACCTTCCAAGGATTTTTCAAGGTCAGTACCATACTTCCCCCGTGTAACCCTAAACTTTTCATACGAAACATTTTTCTCTATCCCTACTAGTTTTCGAGATATTTGACTGGATCACTTCAGATGGTCCACCCTGTATTATCTGGTTACAATAATTAATGAATATCAACAATGAAAAATTATTTATTTGAAAATGGCAAAATATATTGATAGAGGTTGTTCCATGCAAACAATTGCTTTCTTAGAACAATCATTTTTTGGCCGAAAATATGGAAACAATGGCTTATACGTCTAACAACAGGATTAAACGAGCAGAGGTTTTTACTACATGCTAATATCACAATTATGTTTGTGCCGTACAGTTTGATCACGCGAATACCGAAGATAGACATTATCTGTTCAAACAAATAATGTATTTAAGACAAAGATACACATTGTTTCTAATTTAAACAATCGCAATTATTGATTTAAACATTAATTTATTTGGACCATTCCAAATAACAAATTTATTTGGATACAATAAAATTTATTAAATCCAAAGAAATCTTTTTCTCTGTGATATACAGTGACACCAAAGGATTAAAATTGTAAGTTTTTTAATTATAAATGATTAAAAATTGACAATTTTTGTGCCAATTCTTCTTACAATTAATATAATAAACTTTTATTCTTTATTTGATATCAAGTAGAAATTACTTTAAGGCGCTTTTTAATTAAAGGTTTAATTATAAGTTAAAAATTATGAAGTTTTGAAAAAGATAGTATCCAATTAAAGTTCTGTCGAAGAAAAATTAATTACAAATTATAAAAAGATCGCAAATAAAGTTTGTAGGTAATACTTTATGTATATAATTAATGAATGCAGAAATTTATGCAAAAAATTAACGAATTGATGCATTAAGTATACGATCTCAGAGGAACGAATTTCTCTCGATCAATTTCAATTCAAGTGTGTCAAGAAGATCCTTGTACTCAAAATTATTCCTGTTGTGCTCACCTGATCGAGGATGTAGTCAGAAGCGATCAACAATCCTTCCGCCGTTTTTCTACTAGGATAAATTTTGATCAGCTTTGTGTTAATTTTAAAATGGAAACGCTTCTTCTTCATAGAGCGACTTTTTCGTCAAATTGAAGCGTCACGTGGGATTCAAGTTCAAAGAATTATCGCATTCGAATCATCATGAAATCCGAATTATGTATAACGGTTTCTTGTTTATTCCTTATTTATCAGATAACGTAGATTTAATAACTGTATAAATTTTTCCTGTTATGCAAGTAACATGTAGTTAAACATGTAGTAAATTGAATGCTCTTGCATGCATGCCATTGTTCTTCTATAAATTTGACATTTTCCAACTTATGTTTGTTTCTCCTTGGTCATTTTATTTTGTTTTTCCTTTGAAAAGGAACTTTATAGTTCGTTAGAAATCCTTGTGAATTATTCTTATGGGACCATAAAACCGATCGAATAGAAAATTACCACTTTCAGATTCAATTTCAACTATTCTAATGCAATGATAAATTTTATATATAGTATGATTAAAAAGATAATAATGACAAGGGAACTATAGATAGAGAGGCCTCTATCATAAAATCAGTATATAATCGTTTTGGTTGCTTTTGCTATGAAACAATTGATTTATTGAATGAATTCTTAGTGAGTTTTCAGTATATATTAGATATATTGAATCGTCTCTTTATATCTCTTACAAATTTATGTAAAAATTTTTCCAATCGAGTGTCACACTTTTTTCTTTCTCACGCACATTCGCTCGGTTATCGATGTTTATACAAAATACTTCCGCAATGATGGCGAACTGTAAAGTATTTCTCAATTTCTTCCTTCTTTTTTAATATTAGAAGTAAGTCTCTCTTATATTATAAGATAATAACTAGTCTCGATATTCTCAAAGAAGAAAGAAGAAAAACGAAAATACCATTCACGAGAATTTCGTTGCGGAGAGATTTAGTATTCGTTTCTGTCGCGACAAGATCTGGGAGAGCCGAGGTGAAATCGCGAAGTAAAAGCTTTAGAGAGAGCGGGGAAAAGATTACCGATTTACATTAGATCGGGCCTCCGCGACAGACTAAACGTCGCGCAGCACGAAAGCCGTGAGCTAGCTGCACTTTCGATTTTGAGCTCCCTCCTTCGATACCTGCCTTCCTCCTAACAGAGGTTGTAGGCGAATAGGTATATATTCGCGCGCGTACGTGTGACCTCTCTTCCTCTCTTCTCTTGCCTCGGTCATTCGAGTGTGATTACACCCGCTGTACGGACGATTATAAGATCCGTTAGTATGATGGAGAACGGAAAGACAGCGGGACCAAGTGGTTGCTTTTGAAATTAAGAATGTTAAATTAACGTGTGCGAAGCGTTAGCACCCTAAAATTAAAATTCCCCATTGTTCTAATTCCAATTAATTTTGAAGAGAATTTCTTTGTTTTTATTGACCTTCTTCGTTTAGTTTTTCATTTTGAGAACACTAAGAAATAAGATAATTTTTTCCAGAGAATGGAAATAACTCGTTACTTGTAACGAAGTTACAGTTACAAGTTACTTTTTTGGTAACTTTACTGGTAACTGCGTTACTTTTTTTCTTTGGTAATTGTAACGATAACGAACACTGTTAGAAATGTAACCACGAGCTTCCTTTACATGTAAATGAAGCTTGTGGTTATGAACGAAATTAAAAGTAATGAATAATTTAACTGAAAATTTAGTTACAGTAGTTACTTAAATGTAATGAACGTGTATATTAAATTTATGAAATTTAATGTACTTTTAATAAAATTTTAT